AGAATTGTGTACAAAATAATTGTACAAAGAGAAATGTTGTTGATCAACCATGGATGATGAAAGGGTTGAGAAATGCTTGTTAAAAAATGAATTATTTGTATACATGTTTCTTGAAATTGAGAACACAAGAGGCCGAAGAAAAATATAAGAAGTATAAAAATAAATTAGTAGCGATTATAAGGAAACACAAGAAGGAATATTATAGTGATTTATTAAATAAAAGTAATGGTGATATGAAAGCTACATGGCGAGTAATAAATAGTGTTCTGAAAAGTCATAAAGCAAAAACAGGTATTTCACAATATTTTTTGAAGGATGACGATGAAATCCATGATGAAAATGAAATTGTAAATGGATTTAATCATCATTTTGTAAACGTTGGATCAAGCCTTGCAGCTAAAATACCAAAAGTAGACAATAATGTGAACCATTCAGTTACAAGTTGTGACAACAGTATTTTTCTTAATGGAACTGACAAAGAAGAAATAATGAATGTTGTAAAGAATCTTACAGATAAGAGATCAAAAGACTGGGTGGACATGGATATGATGTTTGTAAAGGACATAATGAGTTATGTTATCGAGACGTTTACATATATTTGTAATTTATCATTTTCAAAAGGAATATTTCCAGACAATATGAAAGTAGCTAAGGTAGTTCCTCTCTTTAAAAATGGTGATAAATGTGTGTTCAGTAATTATAGACCAATATCCTTATTACCACAGTTCTCAAAAATTCTAGAAAAACTATTTGTGACCAGATTAGATAAATTTATTACTAAACAAAACATTCTAAGTAGCAGTCAGTCTGGGTTTAGAGCAAAAAACTCTACATCAATGGCTCTCATGGAAATAATATAACAAATAACTACTGCTGTCGATCAAAAACAGTATTGTGTTAGTATTTTTGTTGATTTAAAAAAAGCATTCGATACTATTGACCACACTATTCTCCTTGAAAAATTAAATAAATATGGTATAAGAGGACCAGCATTACACTGGGTATCTAGCTATTTAAAAGATAGGAAACAGTTTGTACAAATAAATGGTGTAAGATCTGACCTGTGCAATATCACTTGTGGAGTTCCTCAAGGCTCTGTGCTTGGACCAAAGTTATTTATTTTATATGTGAATGACTTAGTGAATGTATCAGGACTCCTCAAATGTGTCCTTTTTGCAGATGACACCACATTTTTTTGTTTGGGTAAAGATGTAAAACGGATGTTGGAATTGATGAAGACAGAATTTGATAAAATACAAACTTGGATTAAACTTAATAAATTATCATTAAATTTAGATAAAACTAAATACATGATATTTAGTAACAAAAAGAGAACTGTTGATGATCCATTTAAAATTGAGGGTGTTGAGATTTGTAGAGTTAATGAGATGAAATTTTTGGGTGTAATCATTGATGAACAGCTAACATGGAAAAATCACATCAATTCTGTAAGAACAAAAATATCTAAATCTATTGCAGTACTATACAAAGTCAGGGAATTATTAAATGATAAAGCTCTGTACATGTTGTGTAACACAATCATTGTTCCACATTTAATCTATTGCATTGATGTTTGGGGGAAAGCGTGTAAAACATTTACAAAACCTATTTTTATTTTACAGAAAAGAGCTGTAAGAATTATCACCAGAAAGCATTACAGTCACCCATCAAGCACATTATTTTATCAACTGAACTTATTGAAGTTCCATGATTTGGTAGATTATGGTATTTTATCAGTTATGTATAGAGCTCAAAATAACACATTACCATTAAATATCCAAAGAAATTTTATTAAAAGACAAAGTTGTTACAATCTTAAGGGGATAGAGATATTTGTCAAACCAAAATTCAGAACTAGTCTGAAGAGAAGGTCTACCTCAATCCAAGGAGTTGGATTGTGGAATGTTCTAGAGAGTGATGTGAAAAATGCCAAGTCATTGTGTACATTTAAGAAAAAGATCAAATCTAGATTGTTAAAAAAGTATATATGAAGTAGATTAGTGTGTTTTTTGTATTAGAATTGGAAAAATTAGAAAGAGTTATTCATTTTTTTCTGTTACTTGAAGATTATTATGATTGAAATAATTGTTTGAAAAAAGGGGCAGATATAATAAGATTTTTTCTTCTTTCTGCTGCATTTCATTTTAAATCTTTTGTATCTTTTTTTACATAGTTATGGAATTGTTTTGTATTTTTAAAATGAATAAACTTTATACCATGCCATACTAGGAATGTGCGATATGGCATAAAATTCATTTCACACTATGTATTGTGAAGGGTGGCGATAACGATATATATCGCAATATGTTTTTGGTATAAAACTTGCTAAAAAACAAAAAAAGCATAGCATGTCCTTTTGCCATCACATATTTTGAATTATGAAAATTCCACTATAGGTCCAGAGAGTTTTTAAATAATAAACAAATCAAGTTTTAGGCTTCTTTATTGTAGTGCAAAACAGTGCAAAATAAATCAAATGTAGTTTTAGCCATATGTTTTAAACAAAAAAAAATGTTGTTAACTCTTAAGTTTCCAGTCTCACTTAATAAATGAACAGCAACAGAGCAGCATTTTACACTGAAACACTTCATCCTCTAGAGGGCGCCTCCTTCTGCTTTAATGGAGAGTTGACACAAAATGAGTCTGTGGCTTTGACCAGAGGGTCTCGCAGTAAAATCACACAACACAGAGTTCTTTTCACAGATCAGAGAGCAGGTTTCTCTAAAGCTGACCAACGCTTACTTTAACTTTCGATGGGAAAAAAACAACAACAAAACTTTCGACTGAACACAGCGTTTTGCACATGCGTCAGAATACGGCAACACTACGGCAAGCCGGCTGTAGTTATCTTGTAGCTTCGCTACTTAGCCCTCGAAGAAAAGACTTTAATGCCACTTGTGCACAGTTTTCAACAACAAAAAAGAAACGATTAAATCTGACAACTCTGATTTTACTTCAGACACAGCATTACTGCGGTTAGCCGGTAGAAGACAGATCTCTATCGTAGGCTAAATTTCTATCATTTCTACCGTATACTGTTTAGATCGCGCATTCCTATACCATACCATACAAAACTGTGCAAAAGACACATAAATCCAGAAAACAGAGAAGACTCAAGCAAACAATTCACTCAAGCTACCATCAGACAAACAGGAAGTGACACAATACATCTCACCACGAACGTGCAACGTCACTGTTCACACTTGTTAATCAAATAAAACAAACTTCATTAAGGATTTGTTTTTCTTTCTTAGAAACAGGAAGAAATCAGATAAACATTAGTCAGACTGTAGCTGACTCTGTGTCCAAGGACAGGAAATGTGTGGAAAAACATCAGACATATTGAAGTCAGAGGTAACTTTGAAAAACACGATTCATGGTGAGTCTGGAAGATGAATAAGGGTCAGGGGTCGTAGTTAGAGCAGTGCAGCTTCATGCTACAGCTGGGTTTAGCTGTGTGTGTTGCTAAATTAAGTGTTTGTGTTGCAGATTGTTGCGTTTGAAATGTAATTTTAGTTTCAGCTTCAACATTCATGGTAAGTTTTTCTTCAGGAGCTCAGAGAATGTTATAAAGCTCTGAGGAGGATGTTTTGTAGTAAAGTTTCAGCCTTTAACCAGAGAAACCTCCTACAGCTGCAGTGTACGTGCAGGAGCTCGTGTCTCTTCCACGGAAAGTAACAAGTAGGCATCTCTGCAGACAAATACAGAAGGCGTATCTCTAGGGCCACACCTGATTGGACAAAGGTATCAGAAGACTTTTTCTTCAAATCTTTATTGAAAAAACACAGAACGGTACAATAAAACACAGCACAGTAAAGTAATGACAGCCTCCAGGGGCTGCAGACATTGACACTCTGAAGGCTTATTAAGCAAATACAACCTGAGCATAATGGAGGCACACTGTGTGAGCCAGTTCAACATTAATGGTGTCTTCTTTTTCCACCTCTCTCAACACAGAACTTCTGGTTACATTTCAAAATAAGAGCAACATAAATGGGTACTGGGGACTCGGCAGGACTAAATGTTTGTTTTTTAATACTTAACCATTGCATTAAAAAAACAAAATCCTGTTTTGGTTGTTGAATAATGTGAAAATAGTTAAAATTAATTCATAAAGAAAGAAAAATAAAGTAACCAAAATAATAATGATCCTTAAAATGGCTTTGTTTCCTTTAACTTCATTTTCTTGTTCAAACTGCAGTCACTGCAGAGGAGTGATGGCCAGTTTGTGTAACTGGAGCAGGGATTCTGTTTACTGGTTCACTTCCAGCTGTCTCACATTTTAAGGCTCAGTCCTTCTCCATGTTTCAGCTCCTGTCACAGATCACACCCCATAGAAGAACTTGTAAAGAACATTTTGTTTGGGGCCGTTATCTCGTCACAGGACTCCTGATCTTTAATTGAGACCAGACTTTTTGACAAATGGAGCAGTTTCTCTTCAGATTTCATTGTAACAAGCCCAGACTGAAAGCAACCTGTGTCAGGTGCAGCTACAACCCAAGGACTGAAGAGAATCTTTGACAGCTGATAGAACCTGTTACTTAGAAAACTCAAGTTAAAAAAAGAGCCAGCAAATACAGCGAGCCAATCAGTGTTTGCGCTTCAGAAACGCCCACTTCGGTCTGCAGAGGGCTCTTCTCCAGCCGAGGAGCAGGCGGAATAAAAGTGCACACGTGGACGCCTGAGACTGACGTTGAAACTGACCAATCACAGCGCAAACACATGACGTCACAACACACAGCCATCCAGTGGAATTGTTTCGTCGAAAGTAAACGCCCACAACGTTTAATGTAGGAAAAAATAGTCTGGAGAAAAGTTTTTTGGGAAAAAAAGAATCTGGTTTGGAAGGGAAGGGAATCTGTCTCTGGTGGTGTTTAATCTGTGTCGATCTGAAGAACAGAGGAGAAAACACTTATCTTACTCATGCACAAACGACCTGAGACATGGAATCAAGGGGACACTGACATTTTTGTCTTTGAATACTGTATATTTGTCGCAACATTTGAATTTCAAGAGACACAAATAAGGTAAGACCCATGTTGTTTTTCTTTACATTTCTTATACTAACATTATAGCCATGGTTTTAAAGCAAAAGTAAAACAACAAACTAAAAAACAGCAACCTCATTACAGATGAGAAAATACTCTTCATTCATGATTTCAGTGGGCTCACACAGTAACTGTGCTGGTTTACTTATAGAAAACATTTAATGACTTTCATGTGTTTCCAATACTGTAAACAGAATATTGTGTGTGCTCATAACAGACATTCCCTGTTGGAATGCATATTGCCCGCTGCCTTTCATGCCAGAGATTTAACCAGGGGCATTTACCCACTTGGGTCTTGAAACATTGGGGGCTTTAGCCCAGACCCCTTATCCATCCTCTTCTCTATTTAAAAAGTGCCCCTTCAAGTCTGTATTTATCAATTTTTTAGACTATTATTGTTATAATTTGGCAGGTCCCTGGTTCAAACCCCGGTCCAGGGGCCTTTCTGGGTGGAGTTTGCATGTTCTCTTCGTGCATGCGTGGGTTTTCTCCGGGTACTCCAGTTTCCTCCCACAGACCAAAAACATGCATGTTAGACTGATTGGTAACTCTAAATTGTCCCTAGGTGTGAGTGAGAGAGTGAATGGTTGTTTGCAGGGCCGGATTTAGGAGGATGGGGGCCCCTGGGCTGGAGTCAATAT